AGCTGTGTGTGCGCGCACACGCGCAAAGGGGCTGGCTCTGTGTGTGTGTGTGTGCATGCACACACGAGTGCAGAAGGCCCTGGGCTAGGTGTGTACATACGGAGGGCAGGTGTGTGTGTGTATTCGTGTGCATGTCAGCACACAGAGGGGGCCATGTGCATGTGTGTGCCTGCAGAGAGGGCTAGCTGTGTGTGTGTGTATGGAGAGGGCGTCAGCTTTGTGTATGTGTGTGTGCATGCACACACTCATGGGAGTGCAGAAGGCTCCTGGGCTGGACGTGCACATATGGGGGGCAGCTGTGTGTGTGTACACATGTGCATGTGAGCACACAGGGGAGAGGGGGCCGTGTGTGTGCATGTGTGTGCATGGACGGGGGTCGGCTTTGTGTGTGTGTGTATGTGTGCACACAGGAGAGAAGGCACTTGGGGTGGGTGTGCACATGTGGGTCGGGTGAGTATGTATACACGTGTGTGTGTGGGCACGCAGAGGAGAGAAGCCGGTCAGACGTGCATGCGCGTGGCAGGAGGCCACTGCCGCTGTGGGACCCCGCGGCCTGTTCACAGAGTCCAAGCGTCTTGGGTGCCCGCTGGACGCAGCTGGGAGGGGCCTGAGAAGACCCGCAGAGGACGGGACCCAAGGATTGCTTGTCACCGGTGGCCGGGTGGCCGAGCCCGGAGCCTCAGTCCCTCCAGAGCCCTTTCTGTGAGGTGGGGCCGGGCATCCCTGTGAGGGCCGCGGGGCCTCCACGTCCAAAGTTCAGGGCTGCCTCAACGGCAGAGTCCACGAGGCGTGGAGAGCCCGGACGACTGGGGCGTGGGCCCAGGCTCCCTGCCCTGCCGCGCGTGTGGCCCCCAACGCCCCTCCTTCGCACGGCTCCCAGTCGAACCACTTTTGTGCCACCGCCGCCACCCCTGCCCCTGGTAGGGCCCCGCCCTGCAGCCCTGGCTGCTGGCTCAACAGGTATGCTTTAATTAGCGCCGACCGGACCGGCGGAGTTCAAGCAGCATCCGTCTCTTTGAAGAGCAGCGACGCTCAGTCTGTGTCTGAGTCGCGCCACCAGGTCCTGGACGCCGGCAGGGGAGCTCCTGCCAGTTCCGCCGGAAGGACCAGCTCTTGTCGGAGCCCCCTGACCTCCACCCCGGGCCCCTGTGGCTCTCAGGTCAGCCTGCGTTCGAGCACCCTTTTCTCACACAGAAATTCTGTTTCTGACCGAATGTTCAGCCCCCGACAGCGGCGGTGAATCCTGCCAACCGCCCCAAGTGTCGCCACCTGGCCTCCCGGGCTCTGGCGGGCGGAGGAGGAGCTCTTAGGCCCCTTCCCCACAGATTCGAGGCTGGTAACTCAGCGGTGTCGGCACGATCGACGACTAGAGCTGCTCGAAGCAGTTTCTGCACCGACATCACTCAGAGGTATCCTGAGCTCGTGGGGTATCGCTGCCCTGGGTGCCCCCAGGGGGGAAGGGGTGACAAGCGACCTCCTGGCCTGTCCATCGTCTCCTGCCTCGCAGACGCCCCCACCTCTGTTCCCAAGGCCAGCGGCTTTCTGCATTCTCTCCGAGAGGTGCGGGTGAAGACCCAAGGCCGTTGAGCCGCTGCCTTGCCTTGAACTCTCCCCTTGAAGAAGCCATGGCTCCCGGGCTTAACTCCGCCGTGGGTGCCCCTTGCTCTCTGCAGTGTGGGCTGTTTAGGAGACAAGATCTCTTAATGGCAGGCTCGTCCAGGCGTGGATATGAGCCGCCTCCCCGGGGCTGGGACCCAGCCCTGCACAGTCGGGGCGGGCCACGGGCTTGTTTGGGGCACGTAGGCGCCAGGTCCACCCTCGGCCTGGATGCCACGTGGAAGTGGCCGGGGCTTTACTAGGGGGGCGTGAGCGGGTCCTCCCAGGAAACATCTTAAGCTCCCTGCGTGGCAGCTCCACGGAGCCAGGGCCGGGTGCGAAAGCTTCCCCCACGTCTCACCCACACTACACTGTCGTTTAAAGAGAACCTCCTGCCCGTCCTGATGCTAAGTCTGTGTGTCCCGAACCCGGGTGCCTCTGGCTTCCCTCCTCAAGGCCACCGACCTTCCCATCAATCACATTCTACTTGCCACTTCTGGGGTCACGTGGCAACGGCAGCATCAAGACGGTGGGAGGACAAGGCAGGGACATCGGCTCGTGGGATTTGCTGGGGGGAGTTAAAAAATGATATTCCTGGACAGGAATGAATGGCATTTTCTCAGTCCTTGGTAAAATGCAGTAGAGGCATCTTCAGAAAACTTGGCTCTGCTCATCTGCAGAACGTAAGAAAGCCAGTGACTTCCCAACACCTCCATTGCCGACCCGCCAGGCCACCCTGCTGCGTGCCCCCTGCCCGCCACCTAGACACACGGAGATGTCTTTCTCTGCTACTTGTTCAGGCATCGCTGCTCCTTTTCAAAATTCCCGGTCAAATCTGAAGTTCTCAGCCTGGCAGGAGGGCCAGCCGGGCGCTATTTTTCGGTCAGAGCCTGAAGCGACTGTCCTTTCAACCCATCCCTTGGATCCAACAAAGCCTAGAGGGCGAATCATCTTATCTCGAAGGCTCGAGTTTGCCAGGCTCATCTCACCAGTCTTGCCAATGGCTGGCTCGCCTGCTTTCCCTCTGGAACCTTCTCTGGCTGCTGCAGTGAAGGAGCACTTGGGGCCTCAGCCATCTTGCCACAATTCTGAAGTCTCCCACTGTGGGGCTGGGCCTTGCTCTGCGAAGGTGGCACGGGCGGGTTTCTCCTGCAGGGCCCCAGTGTCCTCGTGCCACGCCTGTCAGCCAGTGGGGACACGGCACAGCACCCGCGGCCCCACTTTCAGGAACAGTTGAGTCGCGCTGCCCCCCCACCTGCCCACCCATCTCACAGACCCACAGAAGAGCTGAGACGATGGGTGACAGAGGACCCCGGACATGCGAGCTCGGCCTCCAGGGGTGCGGATTCCTTCAAGCGAGAGACAGCAGATAGAGACTCCAGTGGTTCGTAGGAGATGGGCCGGTTTCAGAAGCTTCGCCCTCCAGGTCCTCCTGCCCCAAATGCGTTGGAGCCCAGAAGTCAGGTACCGCCTGGGTGTTGACCATGCAGAGGAGGGAGCGCGACGGCCAGACGGACAGGAGAGGCAGGGCCACGGTGGACACGTGCGTGGACGGAACTTGTCTGGGAGGGACTGGGCAGCACAGGAGCCGCTGGGCTTCACAGAGGTGGCGGCTGAGGTGGACTGCCCAGCTCATGCGTGCATGTGTGTGTCTGCGTGTGCTTGTGTATGTGTGCATGTGTGTGTCTCTGCACCCGTATGTGCACATGTGTGTGTGTTCTTGTGTGTATGTGTGTATCTGTGTGTGTACGCACACAAACAGAACGGTGGGTCTTGGCCATGCTCCTAGCACTTGTGCCACTGGCCAGAGCTCACCCAAGACCACCTGGGCCCTGGGATGCTGGAAGCCATCACCCTTCAGGCCGCACACCCGCCTGAGCACGTGAAGACCTGTGGAGGGGCGAGGTGGAGGACGCACACAGGGAGGCAACCGGCCATTCCTTCCCGTGGAGGAGAGGCCCAGGTTTCCGCGGGGAGCCCGTGGGGGCAGGGAGGATGGGCTGGAGGCAGAGCCTGAGGCGGGCCCTCACTTGCGGGTCGGGATGGGGGACGTGTGTGGACGCTGGCACCAGTACGACCCCAGGGGCCACAGGACCAGGGCGGGTCCAGGTGCCAAGCTTGGAAACAACACAGGCGCCTGTCAGGCACCCGGGCGCTGACCTCGGGCTGGATAGTGTCTGCCA